ACATGCATATATTCATGAATGCATTCATACACAATGCACATATACACGCATGCACACATACACACATGCACAGTACACACATGTACACACACACCAGAACCACCATTTATTTTCTGGTCTGAGTAGAACAAAATTCCTTCTACCTTTGCTATTCCAGTAAAACCCTTCATTTCAAATTCAACTTATACAAAATGACATCCTTTAAAAGACAGCTTTAATACCAGTTTGAGGCTGGATGGGTGTTTTTACTGTTAGCTTGAACCTGGAGATCTTGACCTTTATGACTGAGTCGTCTGTCTTTGCAAGCTCTCTCCTTCCTGGGCATTAACAGTTTGGTCCTTCCCTTGGGGCTTTATTGCTTCAGATGGGAATGACTTTGTCCAGTCACCTGCTGTGGTGAGGCTCTGCACCTGCTGTCTGTGTTGTGCCAGATTTAAGGATGTTAACAGCTGGACGTGGTACCACCTGTGGGCCTTGCTTAGGGTTAGTGCCAGAGCCAGCGTGAGCAGGCTTGAAGATCTCATATTTGGTAGTTTCCTCAACTGAGACTTATAGAGAAAGATCAGAGTAGCTGTGTACATCCCAAAGCTAGAGGAAAATAGGATAGGCTTTCGAGTTATTGAGATATAAAGATACTCATTTCAGAAATCCCTGAGGAGAATAGCCACTGGGCATTTGTGGGTTTCTACTAATAGTGGATTCAAAGGTGGGTAAAGGACTGAGTCCTAAAGACCCCACTAGGAGTTGCACAGTTGTTTTTGACTAACCTTCTACTAAAGTAAGACATGTATTTTTTTAGTATTACATTTTCCCTTCATTTTAATTTTATGTGTATGGATGTATGCCTGTGTGTATGTCTGCTTGACCAGTGAGTGCAATGCATAGTATAGACCAGAAGAGGGCGCAAGATTTCCTGGACGTGGAGTTAATGGATGTTTATTAGACACCATGTGGGTGCTGAGAATTAAACCCAGGTCCTCTGGAATAGGAACCAGTACTCTGAGTCACTGAGACATCTTTCCATCTCCAAAGACATGTATTTGTTTTTTAATCTAATTCACGTAGCTTGCTTTGCCTTCAGGACCTGACAGGTCCTAATCAAGTATATACCACATCCATTTGATAATGGATTGGAGCGGTGCACAACCTGCTTTATGACTTGGTATGTCAAATAATACTCAGCTCATGATTGGCAGCTCAGGTCACATGGTAACTTTTTGGCACATGGTCAAGTGTTCTATTCCCACTAAGGCCCAGTAGCAGGCCAAGAAGAACTGTCTCTCAAAGGGAGAATAGTTGTCTATAGATGATGGTAGAACCTTTCTCCAAAGTCCCATAGGTCCCTTCTGTGATTTACCTATCAGGACCTGCCAAAGGCTCCAAACAACATCCCTATCTGCCATTGGCACTTCAGACCCATTAATTGGGTCTGCTGGATCACCAAATACTGTACACCTTGCATAGTAGCCTGGACTGGTTGAAAATCCTTCTCCTGTTTTAGGCCCTACTCAAAGCTAGCAGCTGTTGAGTATTTAGTATGTGGGACAGAGTAGCAAACCCAAGTCAGGATGTGCTGTCTCCAGAGTCTAAATAGGCCCACTAAGCATTGTGCTTCTTTCTTGGTAGTGGGAGGGTCCAGACACAGTAACTTACCCTTTATCTTTGAAGGAATATTGCTGCATGTTCTACACTACTGGACTTCTAGAAATTTCACCAAGGCAGAAAGTCGCTGAATTTCTACCCATGGAAGCCAGATGTGGACACTGGGATAGAATTTCCATTCCCTGGGATGGAAATTACAGACCTTTGTATACTGCTGTGTGGATGCTGGAAATTAAACTGAGGTCCTCTGGAAGGACAACCAGTGCTCTTAGCCACTGAGCCATCTCTCCAGCCCCTCTTCCAAGGTAGACTGGAACTTGCTATGTAGCATAGACACACCACAAACTTGCAATTCTCCTGCCTCAGCTTCATAAATGTTGGGATTATAGGTATATAACACCATGCCCAGATTCCTTTGCCCACGTTTTTATGATATCAACTACATTGTGGTCTGTGCATGAAGAACATTGTGTAGCTTTGGGGAGGAATTACTGTGGGTCCAAAAAGAGCATCCTTTCATGATTAAGTGAATGCTAGCATTTAAGCTCTACACTACAGAACTTGGAGTTTGGAAGTCTGCCAATGTTTCAGGAACTTGTTTCACTACCCATCTCTCCAGTTACAGTGCATATCTTAAATGGAAAAAAAATAGAATTACATGAACAAGTTAGGTATTTTTAACTTCCTAATTATGAGTGGCTATGACTTGTAGGTTGCTTTTACATAAATTGCACTGGCCTCAGAGTCAGTGTCTGAGTTAAAGCTCCAATTGCCCTGTATTCCGTACACTCTGAGTTAGGGTGAGTCATCTACCATTGTTCCTGTCACCCACCCTGTCTGTTCTTTAGAAGTATGAAGTGTTTCTTGTTCAGATTATTTGGCAACGTTTGGATTATCAAGAAGTGGCTAAGTTTGTAAAAGTCAATCTATGTATTACCCTGTCTTTGGACAGGAGGAAAATGATCTCTGTGCATGTGAATTTATGCATACAAGCTAAATGTATTCCTAGTATTGACTTCAGGGCAGAGTAGAATGTAAAGTTCAATGTATACTCTGGGGATTATGTTAAAATTATATATTCCTTTTAAGAAAAGTTGAATGACATTTAAATGACATTTTTTCTCCTCTACAGGAACCAAAAGCAAATACCAAAGTCATTTGTAAGCGTTGCAAGGTAGTGTTGGGAGAGACTGTATCATCAGGTAGGAATTTCATAATGCAGGGCTGAAATGACTGCCCTCTTACTTAAAAACAAAACAAATTTTAGAGTCAATATGTAGGAAAGAGGGATAATTAATTTACTTGATAGAATGCATGGTTTAAAGAAAGAAACCACCTAATGTTTCCCCCAGTATGCCAATGAGTCTGTGTTTTCTGACCTTGCAAGTGCTAGTTAGCATTGAGAAGCCATGGGTTGTCTTCAGTGTTTCATGTCCTCTTTGAAAAGCATCAGTATAGAGTTTGTGCTTCGGTCCAACTTAAGGAAAGTTGGAGCCTTTTTCTTAACACAATTCTTCTGTCAAAAGAGTTAATACCCAGAGATGGAGAAGTCACTTTTCTATTTTGGCATTGGAAGTAGAAGGGGCCTTGTTGACATACTAGGAAATACATTCTGGGCTTTGTACTTTGTTCCTTATTCTTTCTTCATTTTTCATAAAGACTTTTAAATTTTATTTTACATCCATGAATATTTTGTCTGCATGCACGCATATGCATCACATGAGTGCCTAGTGCCGGCAGACATCAAAGAAAGACATCTGCTTTCCTGAAACTTGAGCTTCAGATGTTTGTGAGCCATGAAGTGGGTGCTGGAGCTGAACCTGGGTCCTCTGCAAGACCAGCAAGTACTCTTAACCACTGAGCCATCTCTCCAGCCTCTCTTTTTTAACTTAAAAATAGTATTTGTGTGTGCATATGCATAAAAGAATGTGGAGGTCAGAGGTCAGCATTGTGGAGTTGGTCCCCTCATTCCACCTTTACACAATGTCCAGGGGTTAATATCAGGTTGCCTAACTTGCATGGAAGTGCCTTCACTCACTGAACCATAGCTTTGTGTCTTATTCTTTTTCTCAGTAGTATTACACTTTCTCTAAACTCTACATTATGCTGCTTTAAAATATAATAATGAAAACGTTAGTAATTAAAATGGTGTTGAAAGATACAATTTAAAATGTCTAGTGAGCAAAACATGCTGTGTTTTCGTGGATAATGAATCATCACTTTTAATATGATTAATTAGAAGATTTAATTTAAGCTATGCACTTAAGGGAAAGCAGATAGTGGTTTTTGTATGTTTGTTTGTTTTAATCATTGGGATTTTATTAGTAGTTTCTTTTTCTGAGTAAGCAGGAAAAGAAACATGCACTGTAAAGATATCAGTGAAAATATTATCCCTTTCCACCTCCTTCCCTGAGCATGAAAACAACCCCTTTATGTAACACCTAAAAAAAAAAAATAAGATTTTCAAACAGACATTTTCTTGATGATGTGTGAGTACTATACTTACCTATGGGCATAAGGACAAATATTAGAATGTATGTAGTTGTAAATTCTCCTCGAATAACTATGACTTCACCAGCCCTGGGTAGTTGGCTAGGTTTCCAGTACCTTGTCAAGTGGATCCTATATCCAATTAGAAAGATGCTGGTTACCACCAAGGTACTGTATATTTAGTGTTATTGTGCCAGGCTGGTTGTGGTTCATAGGTGTCATAGCTGGGTTGGACTGTTGGTTTTTCCTCCTTTGGAAACTTGCACGTCACAGAAGGCAGTTTTTGAGCAGAGCCTTTCCCCAGATAGCTGTTGGGGGCTTCACATAAGCAAGTGCAGTAGATACTCTTCAGGAAGCTGGAATGAACAACGGAAAACTGAACAAGGGGCTGGCAAGATGTTCTTCCGTGGGCAACCCAAGCCTGACAAACTGAGTTCAACATCCTTGAATACGCCTGGTGGTGGAACAGAATGAAAATCCATGTATTGTCCTCTGACCTTCCATGCCTGTTCTCACACACACACACACACACACACACACACAGACACACAGACACACAGACACACACACACACACACACACACACACACACACACACACACACGCACGAGCACACACACACACACACACACCTCTTTAAAGATAAATGTAAAACTTTTCTAATGAACTGAGCAGAGTTAGTGACTACACTGTAGACATGTAAAACTTTTCTAATGAACTGAGCAGAGTTAGTGACTACACTGTAGACATACGGTAGACCTGTTCCACAGTGTAAGTTCAAGCCAGTTAACTGGTTACTATATGAATAAACCAAGATTAAAACAAAAATCCATAGGTGATGCAGTGTATTACATGCAGTGTCTTGCAATGGTCCAAAAATTGCTAGATTTTCAAAACAGAAAAGAGTGATTTGTACTCAAGAAAGATAAGGATTTACACATAGATGCTGAATAAGTGCATAGATTAGGAAGCTAAACTGTTGAAATAACTATAACAATACATAAAGAATTAAAAGAAAAAATCTTTGAATAATTCCAAATATCAAATTCCACAGAAAGAACAAATAGGTAAATTTAGAATTGAAAACTATAATATCTGATAAGAAAACAATACTAGATGATCCAAAACACTGATTTGAGAAGAGAGAAGATTTTTAAAAAAAGGTATTGAATTCTTTGATTAATAAAAATAGCCAAACCAAAGGACACACAGGGGAGAAATAACCGAAACAACTCAACAGAAGTTCAAAGGTATAGGACAGTATCAGGTGTTCAACACACATGTAAATGAAGTCTGAAAATGGAGAAAAAGAAGAGATCATAAAACAAATTTGAAAAAGCTGATTGAAATCTGAGAGAAATTTGGTGGATGGCAGTAATTTTTATGAGAAGGATTTAAGTGAACTCCAGGTGTGTAAAACTGTGAGGTGGAAGGGATCAAAGAGCAGAGAGAAACCAAACACACACAGGGACTTCATAACACAACTAAGAAGAGTGTCTTGGAATATGGTGACCTCCAAGTGACATCAGAGTAGACTCACAAAGTGCTGTCAGGAAAACCCATCACCCAACAGTACTGCATCCAGCAAAAAATTCTTCAAAATTAAAGAGAAATCAGAACTATTTATAGGTAAGTACGTAACAATAAAGTACTATAAACAGACCTGCTCCAAGAAAATCCCAATAGAAGTGCTTCAGGCTGAAGTGCAAGGTGTCAGGACAGTGTCTGGAAACCAGGAAGGAATAAAGAGCATGGAAAATGAGAGGTATATGGGGAAATTACCACAGAAGCAAAGTCACTCCAGAATTCCAGGTACACTTCCCCTGCAAGGTGCCAGTCTCATATAAACAGAAATGAAGACTACATAGAACAGAGAACATTGTCTCCACAAAAAGCCAAGCTTCTGAAAGCTGTTTCCCCCAGCCCCCAGCAAGGTGACTTCAGCCATTTAAATTAGCGTAGTCTACCTGGGATTAGAAATACCACTAGATGCTATCAAAGTCAGACATCTGTCGCCTTTGGAAGGAAACCTTTTCTTCTAAGATAAATTCTTACATATAAAATTTCAAATACAAAGATTGTTATACAACCAAAGCTGACTAGGTACGTATGTTAACTAGACCCCTGCCCCCACCACCCTGTCCTGGTTTTCCATAGCTGTGATCCAGATGCCTTTGAAGAACTTAAAGGGACAGAGATTTATTTTGCCTCCTGGTTTTAGACCTCTTAGCCTTTGCCTCTACCGAGTCTGGACCTGTAGAGAGACAGAGCATCACCATAGTGGGTTTGTGTGGTAGAGGTTGCTCAGCTCATAGCTGGGATAGGACACAGACTGCTCCCTCCACCCCCCAGGACCACCCTGCAAAGCTACTTCCTCTAGCTAGGGCCGACCTCCTAGACTCTCCCTAATTTCTCAAAATAGTGCCACCACTTCAACAGTGAGCCTGTGGGGACATTTTTTATTCATTAATTCATTACAGCTTTAACAGGAGCTATCACAGAGAGCTAGCGGTTAAAACAGACTTCGTATTGAAACTGTACTATCATATACAAACTGTAAAACATACTTGGTATATTTAACAGTGTAGAAGACTGATGGCTGGACACAAAATGAATGTAACAGTTAGTGTGTTCGGAAAAGCTCCGTGGTAGAATCTCTGTGACTGTACTGCTTTATAATTGAAGCTAGCAGTTCAGAGAGAGCTGTTGACAGCAGACTGGATATAAGTTAAATCAAGAATTAATAAACAGAAGAAAGATGAGAACAATCTTTAACCCTGCACACTGAACCAAAAAGGTAGTGTGTGGAGTATAGACAGATACAGAACGAGGCAATCCACTGTGTGTTTAATTATACATCTTTGTGAAAAGAGGAAAAGATGCCGCATAGGCTGTGCTCGAACAAAGAGTTGCTGAGAGTTCTAAGAAGTGACAAAGAGCAATCTACAGATTCAAGAGGCACAATGAATTCCAATTCAGTGAGGCCCCAGTAAGATAAATAAAAAGAAATCTGTATCTTGGTGCATCAAAGTAATGGCTGCAGAATAAAAAGCAAAGAAAAAAATCTTAAAAGCAACCAAGGAAAAAAAATGACAGATCACCTTCAAAGAAATAGCAGTAATGGAAATTTGCAGAGAGGGGATGGCATTGTCAGTGTGCACAAAGAAATGACTGTTAACCCCAGGACTTTGTAGCAACTCAGAGTCCCCTCAACAAAGAAACAAACAGAGCAGGGCAATACACCGCTAGCTGTTTCCTATTAAGAGGAATTCCACCTGTACCCAGATGGAAGCGAGTGACCCCAGAAAGCTCAAGAAAGATTGATAGAGCGGGTGGTTGGATGTGGGTGACAGCAAATGGGTGCTCACTGCATGGAACCAACCACCAGCTGGGACCTGAAGGGTCACTGTGTGACAGTAAATGATTCTGCCCTATATGTGATAATAAGACTTCACAATAGTAAGGTGAAATCGACAGAAATGAAAGAAAATGTATGTTCATGTTTTTAGATACATAACAATGTATAATAATCATTACATGTTTTTATTGATTATAGTTTTCACTTTTTTCTGTGTCTTACATCAAGAAATGTATTTTTTTTAAAAAATGAATTTTTGGTATTATTATAAATGGACAACATTATCTTTAAGAAAACACCACCTTAAATTACTTCTGGTTTTATTTTGACCTGCTTAAAACTTAAAATGTGTGTGAAATTCTATTACCTAAATAACAATTATCTCCAGCTTTCACAGATCTTAATTTGTTTTCAGCATTTTTTTATACTAATATCATTGTCTTTGTCGTCTGGTACATATTTTACAAGTTTTCATTAAGATAAATTGGTCAGTACTTGCTTATGATGTTAAACTATACATACAGTTTGAAGGCTTTTGTCAGGAGAGCTCTCAGCAATCTATCATTTTCAGTTCTGGCAGTGGTTTGCGAGCAAACCTGTCCATTTCTAACTCCCACCAGGCTACACTTGCCCTCTAAAAATATTTTGTCTGATGCTAAAAAAAAAAATTCCATTTTGTTCTGCATTTCCTTTGTTACTAATAAGATTATACCTTTAAATGGATTTTTTAAACAATCAAGGATGGTTATATTAATGTTTATCAAATGTTTAGTCTGTTGTTTAATTGTTTTTATAATTGACAAAATAAGCAGAAAGTCAGATTTGGTGAGGACCATTTGTGAATACAGTCAGTGAGATTTCAGGTAGATGATGATGTCAGGGTTACAGCTCTGTGCTTTGGGGAACCTAACTAACAAACCTTCCTCAGTCACTCTTTGATTGGTAGCTAGTCCACAGAACTGAGGAAACAAAGGTCTCTTAATTTTGGGCTAAGACTGTGAGATCCCGACTTCCCAAGTGCAAGGCCTTCTTGGCGTATATGCTGAACAGACTCCACATGTCCTGAAGCCTTGGAGCTATCTGTTTTTCTTGTTTTTTTTGAGACAGGGTCTCTCTGTAGCTTTGGAACCTGTCTGGAAATTTGCTCTGTGGACTAGGCTGGCCTCCAGCTCACAGAGATCTGCCTGTCTTTCCCTCGTGAGTGCTGGGATTAAATGTGTGAGTCCTACTGCCTGGCATGGAGCTATCTTTTTTACCAAAGATGGAGTGCCTTTTTCCTTAAAACTCAGTACTTTTGGGAAATTGTTACTGAAATCCAGTTTTATCAGTATCTTGAGTAGTCAAACAAAATAATTTGGAAGGTCATAATTTAGGGCCAGCATGTCTGTGATAGAAGTGTATTGGGAAGATTTTTAAATTTTCTTCTTTTTTGTTTCCAGAAACAACTAAATTTTACATGACAGAGATAATTATTCAGCCATCTGAGGGAAGTTTTCCTAACATACCAAGGTACAAATAACAAATCAAGTTATTGTATAATTTGAAATATATGTTTGTATGACCTTGAAAACCTACCTAACGTGACTGTAAGTTTGGTATTATAGATGACTACCTATTAATCTGTATTTCCTAATTATACATTACATTTTTAAATGAGTTGCATAAACATAATACCTTAATCAAGCTTAGAAATATTCATACAGCATAACAAAATTAACCTTAAATTTATATCAATAAACTGAAATCTATACCAATGAAAAATATTTTGAGATTAACAGTTTTTTTTTGATTAAAGTAAATTCAATTACCTACCATTTTCTTCATCATTTCTCTATCATATGCCTTTTGAACATATGTTACAGTTGTATAGCTTGGTCTTCTTGTGGGACTCCTAACAGTGGGAGCAGGAGCTGTCTCTGACTTTGTTACCTGCTTTTGGGACCCTTTCCTCCTTCTGGGTTTCTTCATCCAGCCTTAATAGGAGAGGAGATGCCTAGTCTTTCTGCAACTTGATAAACCATGGCTGGTGGATATACATGGGAGGCCAGCCCTTTTCTGAAGAGAAGGAGGAGGAGTTGATAGAGGGGGTAAAAAAGGGTGAAAGGTGAAGGGACTGGGAGGTGAAGGGGGAGGGAGGGGAAATGTGATTGGGCTGGGGGGAAGTAAGTAATTAATTAATTTTAGAAAAGAAAAGAAAAAGAAATCGGCCGAGCAAGCAATGGAAAGCAAGCCAGTAAGTAGGCGGCACCCTTCCATAGCTTTTGCATCAGTTCCTGCCTCCAGGTTCCTAACCCTGCTTGAGTTCCTGTCTTGCCTTCTTTGATAATGAAGAGCGATGTGGAATTGTTCACCAAAATAAACCCTTTCCTCCATGTTGCTGTGGTCATGGTGTTTTATCAGAGTGATAGGAACCCTAAGTAGGATAATGATGGACTATGAAATGGAAGCTAAATAAATCCTTTCCTCACTCAAGTTGTTGATAAACCCCCATGGGGTTTATCACGGCAACAGACAGCAAATTAGTTAATTGCATCCTGAATATAAACTTGAATTTTATCCTTTTTAAGAACTGTTCCTTAAGGCAGCTTAAATGGAAAAGCTCGACACTGATACTGTCTTAATTATTTACTGTCTGATGTGCTATAGCATGTGAAAGTTGAGTCTTTGGTGTTTTTTAATTTAGCAGATAATGTGTGTATGAGTGACTTGTCTTGTTGCCCTGACAAAATAACTAACAAAAAGCAACTTAGGAAGAGGTTACTTCGGCCCACAGTTCAAGAGCGCAGTGATTTATGGCAGAGAAGTAATGGTGGCAGGACCTTGAGGCAGCTGGTGACACTGCCCAGGAAGCAGAGAGTGACAAATGCTTCTGCTCAGCTTGCTTTCACCTTCTTATTCAGTCATTGGAGCATGAAACAGCGCCATTCAAAGTAAAGATTGCCCTTTCTACTTTAATTATTCTAGTAATTATTCAATAATCCCTTGTAGACATGGCCAGAAATTTGCCTCCTAGGGTGATTTTACATCTTGTCAAGTTGTTGGTCAATATGAATTTGTCACAGGGGAATAGTTATATTTGGGATGGAAAATACATTAATGATAGCAAGATGAATTTTAAGGAGAATGGAACACACACAAATAAATTCTAATTTTCCAAAGTGCAAGTTAGTAAAGACTTGGAAGGAATGGATGGTGGTCAGAGAAGCCTGGCACATGCTTTTAGGTGCCTGTACATCCTTCTGACCCATATTGTTAGTAAGAATTATGAGAGGTACATGGTGACATTGACTTTCTGTTCTAACAGGTCTCAGTTTGTTCAGAGTATCATTGCCCAGTGCCTGGTGGAACTCTCCTCTGCGAGAAGCACTTTTAGATTCACAATTCAAGGTCAGGATGGCAAAGTGTACATCTTGGTAAGGAAATTTCTCATCCACTTTTTTATGGCCTTGTAATCCAAGGTCTCAGAAACTTTGTAGTTTCCATCATTCTATTTTCTTACCTCTCAAGTCTAGAAACTAGAACATGACCATTAAACTGAACTTCTAATATCAAGTAAGCCATAAATCAAGCTTACTTCATTTAATAACACATGTCATGACTGGGTACCTCTGTATCCTAGGTTCTGAGGATGCAGACAGAAGGAAAACTCAGTTTCTGACCTTTAGAAGCTTTTTGCCCTTGGTGATGGCTCTTCTGGACAGTGTCAGGCTGTATCATTCTCCTCTCTGTATTTGTTACTTTGAACATTGAAACGTGATACTCATGTTTCTGACTGCCTCTGGCAGCTTGGTATTTGAGAAACAGTAGCAAGTTTGGAGAAGAAGCTGGCTGCAGCAGCCCGCATCATCCTGCCTCTGTTTAGAATGATGCTCTGTACAAGTAAATTTTGCCCCTTTGTTTAAAAATCCAAACAGCCTAGACCATACTCTTCTCTGTGTCGGTTTTCTTCAACTAGTTAAACTATACGGAGTGCTTCTTATTTGAAAAGCACTTCTCTGGGTGTTGAAGGTCTTTAGGAATCTCAGAGCCATGTGAGATAGCAGTGCCATAGTTTGAAATTAGTGTTAGATTTCTTTGTGTGTGCATGCATCTGTGAGGACACATGTGTTTGGATGGAGATCAGGGGTCCATGTATAGTGTCTTCCTTTTTTTTTTGAGATGATCCCTCATCAAGGCTGAAGCTCAGCCAGTTTGACTGGAAGTGTCCAGGGAGCCCCAGGGATCCACCTGTCTCTGCCCACTAGTGCAGAGATTACAGCCACATGCTGCCAGTTTTTACATGGGCTCTAGAGATTGATCTTGGGTTCTCATTCTTGCATATCAAGCACTTCACTGCTCAAACCATATTCCTAGCCCTAGTTTTCTTGTACTGAAAGAGTTTCTAGCTGAAAATCATCTTTTAATTTTCTTAACATTGAAGTTTTGTTTTTCTTACTTTGCTATGGGGAATACATTTTAAAAATATATTCAGACAATAGGAAGAACCTAAAAGCTGATTCCTTTGTCCTGTCTACTCCCCAAGACTAGTTATGTCATGCTTTCCAGAGGCAATCATAACAGTCTGATATATATGTGTGTGTGTGTGTGTGTGTGTGTGTGTGTGTGTGTGTGTGCATACTGGTATTTTCTACCCATATCCAACTATTTCTAAGAATTCTCACAGGTACTTGGGTTTTTAGTGAAAAACAAAACAGTATTAATTATTAGCTTTTCAGTTTCATGTAACAGTGAGGATTGTTTCTGGTTGGCATAAATGTAGGTTGAATACTATTGTATTCTTTTTGTTAGTTTGTTTGTTTTGGGGTGCCAGGGTTTCTCTGTGTAGCTTTTGGAGCCTGTCCTGGAACTCACTTTGTAGACCAGGCTGGCCTCAAACTACAGAGATCTGCCTGCTTCTGCCTCCTGGGTGCTGAAATTAAAGGCGTGTGCCACCACTGCCCAGTGTTCTATCTCTTAAGTGTAGTGCAAACACATAAATTTACCTACCTTCCTGTTAGTTACAGACATTTTTATTGTTCATCTCATGCCTGTATTCTCGTTTTATTCTTTGCTGTTATGTTGGACCCCTCACTGATGTCTGGAAGCTCCAGATATTTCAGATTGATTATAGAATTGTCATTTACATAGTAAATAGTTTTTCCTAATCAGGTTTTTGAAAACTTCATATGGCTGCTCTCCCAAATGTTCCACTGTTTATTAAAAATAAAAGCCTACCCTACTTACACATTATATATGTAATTATGTTTCTCTTTTTTTTTTGTGTGTGTGTGTGTGTGTGTGTGTGTGTGGGTTTTTATAGTAGCAATGTACAATATAGATAGAGTAACATTATTCTCCTCTGTGGACTTCTCTTCCCAAACTTTAGCTCTGGATTTTAAACTCAGACAGTTTGGTGATTGAACCACTTCGAAATTCCAGTTGTGTCAAAAAGTTCCCGCTGTTGGAAAATACATCGGAAGCTGACTCCAGCTCTGCTTGGAACGCAGTCAAAGTCCTCTACCAGCCCTGCATCAAAAACAGGAATGAAGAGTAAGTTGTGCTTTTGTCTTTTCTGTTCCACGTTGTATTTCAGCTGTGATCACCATGTTGGCACTAGGAATTCAATGAATTAAATGCTCCTTGATGCTGTTAGGAGTCACACTGCTGAATATTATGCTTTGTAAGTAGACAGTGTTATTACAGATAATTCTGACCAATATGCAGAGTACTTGCTTTTCCTGAAGATAATTAGCTTTTTTATTATAATCCCTGCTGTCTGTACAGATGGCTACTATGCTAAGGCAGTTTCTCTGTGGCTTTGGAGGCTGTCCTGGAACTAGCTCTTGTAGACCAGGCTGGTCTCGAACTCATAGAGCTCCTCCTGCCTCTGCCTCCCAAGTGCTGGGATTAAAGGCGTGCGCCACCACTGCCCAGCTGACTCAATTCTTTAATATCTGAAAGTATCTTACACTTGATCTGTCTCTCTGAAAAAAAATTAAATATCTCTTTAAAAAGTTTAGTGTGTGTTCACATGAGTAACCTATGAGTGGAGGTCAGAGGACAACCTGTGGGAGTCAGTTCTCTCCCTCCATATGTCCTGGGGATGGAACTTAGATCCCCAGGCTCAGCAGCAAGTACCCTATCTCACCAAGCCTGAAAACCCATTAAGATATTCTCTTTGCTTATCTAAGATTTCATAGAGGTGTATTAGAATGGGCAATTGTACACAGAATTTTGTCAAACTATACCTCTTCCCAAGGATATGAAACCGTCTTGAGACTAATAATTATTCTTTTTTTTTTTTTTTTGAGAAGAGAGTTTGAGTTTAATGCTTCTTTTCCATGGCTTTTCTCTTCCCATATGTTTGAGGGACTGATTAAAATTCCTGTGCTAGGCTGGGCACTCTGGTAACTAGGACTGCCTCCATCCTGCCCACCTTGCTTGAGAAAGAATTCAAAGCAGTGTCTTTGTACGGTGACAGGGTATTTCTTTGTTTGGTAATTGCAGTTCCTCTGCTGGTGACTGTAGATTCTTGGTGCCATAGCCTGCCTTCGTGGATGAGAGAGAGAATTAAGAAGGATGGGCCAGTAAAGAGGCAATATTACCACTTTGCTGTTATTGTTTTGTTTTATTTGTGTATTGGACAGGGTCTCCCATAACCAAGGCTGACTTGGAGCTGCATTCTTGCCTCTAACCCCTGAATGCTGAGATTAGATTATGCACCACCCTGCCCAACTCATTTTTCTTTTGGTAACTTTTGAATATTAAAAAATGATTCAGCCACATTGATAAATTGCGTATTATGTGAAGGATCTTTACATTTTCTCATGAAACATTACAAGAACTTAGTGAACTTTCCCTGTTATTTTACTCATTCTTTGTTTTAAAATCTGTGTATGTGTATGTGTGAGAGTGCATGCGGTGGCACATAGGTAGCCATGGGCGTCTGTTCTCACCACTCCACCCCGTTGCTTTTAGGCAGTGTCTCTGATTGTTTTGCCGTTGCATGTGCTAGGCTGGCTGGCCAGCGAACTTCTGATAGTCTCTTGACCCCCTTCTCTATTCTTGCAGTAGGAGCACTAAGATTATAGATGAATACTACCATGTCCAGTTTTCTGGATTTGGGGGATCAGAGTTGAGGTCTTGGGCACACTTGGGCAGTAGGCACTTACTCACCAAGCCCCTCTCAAGCCCCATTTTGATGGGGAATGTCCTTCTGTATATGTTTCTCTTATTGGTTGATGAATACAACACTGTTTGGCCAACGAGGCAGGAAGATAAGTGGGGTGAGGAGACAAGGAGAATTCTGGAAAAGGTAGGCAGAGGGAGCACACCAAAAGGAGGGACTGGGAAGAAAGGACGAGCCAGGCATTCTCTGGTAAGATAAGATCACACGGAAATGCGTAAATTAATAGAAATGGGTTAATAATTAAGACAGAGCTGATCAAAAAGAAGCCCTAGTCATTGACCAACAGTTTAATAATTAAAATAGCCTCTCTATGTATTCATTTGCTGCTCAAAAGCAACTGTGGGACCAGGCTGGAAAGAAGTTCCAGCAACACCATTTCCCTCATTCTTAACAAATACTTTCAGGATGGTAATTCACTACGATAGTAGTTGTGTTTTTCTGTGTTTCATTAGAAAAGAAAAAACTGCTTCCAGATAACTTGGGGGTAGTTCATGTCTAATAAATGACTCTGATTCATTACCTTATCTGTTGTATAAAATAATTTTTATTGTGTTTTTCTTCTTTCTTTTTGACCCTGAAGGTAGACAGGAACCTTGTAATTTGGGTAGCATAATCTGAGTGATTTACTTTTTTGTCTTTTAAGCACAGTAGTGTCTTCTTTGGGGGGGGGCATAACTGAGCAAACTGTAGACTCTGGCATAATCTTGACACATGGGTGGTGCTTTAACTATTTTAGTCCCATTGGCTAGAAGTTTTTTTCTAGTGAGAGTGTGGATGGCCAGATGGTAGTCTAAAAGAGGAAAACAGCAAATGTAACTATGGTTTTATTTCCTTGAGCACTCACAAAAAGAAAAAAAAAAAAGCTGGCATGTAATATTTTTAGAATATTCGTTCTTTCTAGAAACATCGCTCATCATTTTGAAGAATGTTTTTTCATGCCTTCCCTCCTTGCTTCAACCAGCATTTTCATATGTGGGTGAGCACCAATTTTTTTTTGTTTATTTATTTTGTTTTATTTTTTGTTCCTACTGGCCCATGTTTTATATTGGCAGAATAATGTATTTCATGTTTTATATTATTTAGTTTGCATATCAGAGCTCAGATTCTATGTACTAACTTTTTAACAATAACTAATAACTTCTGTAGTTTGACTGCTATTTTCTCAAACAATGTACAGCTTCATATTCACTAGACTTGGGGTAGCTTTGCCCACAGTGGACATTTGGCAATGTCTGGAGACATTTGGTTGTTACAACTTGGAAGTAAATTGTTAAAGAATTCTCTTAAACATCCTGTGTACTGAGGAGACCCACCTATAACAAAGAATTTTCTGGTCCCAAATATTAATATGCCACAGATGAGAACCTGCTTAGAAATGTTTCTTGAAGTTAGGCTGCTTTTGCCTCATCCTATGTGTGATAGCCCACAATTTTCTTGAGATTGTATTTAGATCAGCAAATAATATCAATTCTACCATGGCATGAACCACAATCTTTGTAATTGCACAGGCTAAGTGTTAAATAGAGTAAATGGTGAAATACAACCCAGTTTTTTTTGTTGTTGTACTTTTGCTTTTTTGTAAGGGAAATGGTCTTTATAGTAACATGCCCAGAGTGTGACTGATTGCAGGGTCCTTTGGTTGTTGTGTTTTTGAGTGGCCTCTGTACTGTTTCCCAGAGCTGTCGCAGCAGTTTACAGATGCACCATGCACCTTAATACCCAACTCCCCCCACCTTCCATATCCCCACACTCCCACCCCAATTTGGGCTTTTATGTTTGTGTATCTGTTGATTTTCTTTGTTTCTCTCATTTGGTTTAGCTGTTTTTATTTGGGTGTGAGTGTAGCTTTAAGGAGAAGGAGGTTGCTTTAAAATTAGCCAACTTAAAGGATATGAGAAGAGATCTCATTGCAGCCTCGATGAGCATTGTCTGGTGATCAGTGATTGTCCAAGATTCATTGCTGCTGCTCTGATAAAACCACGACCAAAAGCAACCTGGGGAAGAAAGGATTTATTTCAGCTTAATGATAATAATCTGTCATCTAGGGAAGCTGAAGGTAGGAACCTAGAGGCAGGAACCGAAGCAGAGACCACGGAGGAACACTTCTTACTGGCTTGCTCCCTATGGCTTGTTCAGCTTGCATTCTTACACAACCCAAGACCAGAGTTGGTACCACTCACAGTGAGTTGGTCCCTCCCATATCAATATACTTGCCCACAGGCCAATCTGGTGGGGGCATTTTTGCAATAGGTGTTCTACCTTACCAGGTAACTCTAGATAGTATAGAGTTTGAAAAACGTAGCCAGCATAGTGACACTGAGCATCAAGTTATATGCTTTGGTCATTTGTATGTGATCTTCAGAGAAGTACCTGTTCAACTCCCTGTTGTAGTTTTTCACTGGATTGTTGGGTGTTTTGGTTGAGTTGAAGCCATGCTCTGTATGTGCTAGTCTATTCGTAAGTATATGACTTAGGTTTTGTTTTTCCCTTCCATTCTTTCCCAGCCTATTCACTCTGTTGATTGTCTTTTGATGAACAAAAATATTTAAATCTGACCAAGTCCCATTGGCCTGTTTTACCTTCATGTTGATACCCTGTGCTGATAGTGTCCTATGAGTGAAACCACACACCACCTCTGCACTGAGATGGTGAAGGCCAGCATTGACTCAAATATTGTACACTGGGTGGTTCAGGCTCAGTTTAGAGGGATGTACTCTTTTGACTGATGAGAAAGATAGAGCAAACAATGTTAATTTATAACATTTTTTTTGTATTCAGCAGGATATCCAAAGGCCTATTACTCAATAATTGTATAATCTCATAAACCATTTAGTGTTAGCTAATTTGAATGCTGTGTGAATATGATGCTGTAGGTGCTGCTAGTTCTAAAGAGTGTTATATCAAACCATCTACAGGAAGTGTCTTCTTCTACTCTTTGATAGAAACTATAAGGTGACATTGCTGGTACATCCCAGGAAACGTTGACCTTGTAGAGTAGGGTAGACTCAAACTTCAGATGTGAACACCTACCTCTTACATTTCACATAGGGAGACACTGGGGACCAGAAATAAGTTCAGATTGTCACTGACAGCCTAGGTTAGGGCTTCCAAATGAGTATTTCTTCCTTATGCTACATCTTCTCACCATGAAATTCTCGGAGATGTGAAAGATGGGCTGTAAGTGTACTTTATTTGAGAAGTGCTCCTCTGCTGACTTACAAGATTGATGCCAGCATTCTCTTTCCCTCTCCCCAAATGAACCACTTGTTGTCTTCTATCCAGTGCATATCTATATATCTCATGTGTTACACTAGTAGCAGAAAGTTCTGGGCTATATGTTTATATTTCATGTTTCAGGTCA